CTTTCGCAGGGCTTGCCCTGCAATGTTTAACAAACGCTCTCATCTGTCTATTTATCTCTCTTTTTATCTCTCTCTCTCTCTCTCTCTCCCTCCCTCCCTCCCTCTCTCTCTCCCTCCGGTTCTCTATCGAGATGTCTATAAAGAGCTGTCGAGCACACCGCGGTGGGTTTTGCGTTTCATTAATCATTATGTAAAACCGAGCGAGCTGAGTCAAGTGCGAATCGAAAAGGATTAGATTCGATGTAGCGGCTGTTCTCCGCGTGCTCGCGAATAATATTGATGGCACGCCACGTTGCTTTGAGACAAAAAAGCGACGTCACTTGCGGATTAACTAAGAGGATTGAAAACGACGAGCGCGATCTCGCGCGTGTATCCATGTGTGTGAATTATAATGCACCTATACGACAGAGAAAGAGAGGGGGGGAGGGGAGACAGGGGGAGAAAGAGAAACAGAGTGTTATTAAATTTGATCATTGTCTTGTCACCGTTGGCATCCGGAAATTTGCTCTCACGCGGCGTTTAATCCTTTGCGGCACGTATTTTTCAGAAAATCCGAATCACATGAAAATTTATATAGGGGGGTTTTCTGGGGTCGCTGATGACGAATCAGTTATCAGATTTTCGAAATTCAAGATGGCGGACGCAAAAATGAAAAATCGCGATAATTTCGGTGACAATGAGTTTTGGACCTCAGATTCGTAATCAGCGATCTTGAAAGCTAACCAAAGTACAATTTCAGTTAATCATATAAAAATTTTATGATCCGCCATCTTGGAAAATAAATTTTAGAATTTGGACCTCAAATTCGTAATCAGCAAGCTCAAAAACTAACCAGAGTACAATTTTAGCTAATTAAATAAAAATTCTATGATCCGCCATCTTGAATCCTTCATCTTGGAAAATTAATTTTGGAATTTGGACCTCAGATTCGTAATCAGCGACCCAAAAAAACCCCCAAATCTTGATTTTGAGCAAAAAATTCACTCGTAGTTCGTGGAAAATGATTTTTTTCCGTAAAAATGTATATTTTTCACATTTTGTTTATTTATAATAAGTGGATTTATGCAACTTATGCAGAACTTATGAACTTATGCAAAACACTTTTCGACCTTTCATGTATGTTCCCATATCGTATGAGAAGCTAAAAGAACGCAAAAAATCCAACAAGAGTCCCTCAAATATGAAATATTTCACGAAAATATGAGAATAAATAGGTGGTAAGTGTACTTACCACTATGCCTCAAAGGGTTAAGTAGCGAATGTCTCGAGCGCGTCGGTCGCGAATTGCAACCGCGAGTTCTCGCTCGTCGATCGTCACTCGGCGAATTCCCAGTCGGATTTATCATCGCATCATGATACGAATTAGCCGATATAAACATTATCATTATCCTTATTGTTTCCCTCGGTGTCTCATTATCATCGTCATTACCTCCTCATCATTTCTCGTCTTTGTAAAAAAAAAAAACGACGCGAGCGAGCGAGCGAGTACGGTCATAAGAAAGACACGCCGCGAGAAAGCCGCGCGCGTCATGTATACACCGTTCTCATAAAGCGTTCTCCGATTACGTAAGAAGTTAATCATTCGGCCAAGTGAGAGCAACACGAGAAGACCGGCTGGGATCGAGGAGGATCGAGCGATGGCGCGCGTGCACGCGCGCGAGTGTCTAAGGTAGTTCCCGTCATTCGTCGAAGTTGGGCTCTACGATTTCAGTAAATGACGCGCGTCGTCGTCGTCGTTGTCGTTTACGTAACGAACTCACGGCGGACTCTCGGCGTTGTACTTGCAAACTCCGGCTTGCCTCACCTGTGCGTACCAGGTGTTGTTGCTCAAGGCACCAGCCTGGGAACTGGTTGTCGGAGCGAGTCGCGTGTAAATCGCGGTTAATCGTTACGTTCGCAAGAAGTCGACGAGTGTCTTTTGAATTAGCCTTAATTCGAATTGATAGTCCAATTTGCCGCACGAGACACGCGCGCGCGCGCGCGAGAGAGAGAGAGAGAGAGAGAGAGAGAGAGAGAGAGAGAGAGAGAGAGAAAAGTCGTGTGAGAGATGCTCCGCTGAGATTAAGCGCTTCTATCGAGGACGACGTCTCATCAGATACGCGTTCAGAGAGAGAGAGAGAGAGAGAGAGAGAGAGAGAGAGAGAGAGACTTTGGCCCGAATAATTCTCGTTCACGTGCAGCACCGTGTTGTTAATCGGTGCCTCGTTGTTGTCGCAAGTCGCCGTCGAATCGATAATATTCCCCGCGTACACGCGCGCGCTGTATCGGATACGCTTCCGCGGGACGGTGAGAATTTGTCTTCCTATGCTCGCCCACGCACTCCAATTAGAGCTTCCGGTATTAATGGCCGTCTGACCATGTTTGTTTTCGTGCCGATGAATGGGTACACTTGGCCTTGGATAATTCGTGCGAGCGCGTTCTACGATCCCGATCGGCTGTATAACCGCTTTTATACGTGCGCGCTCGCGCGCGCGTTATCAATTGATCAGGTTCTTGCGCTACTGCTTCGCCATCGAGGCAATCGAGGCAAAACGGTGACAGTCGAATAAACGAAGCGGCGGCGGCGAGGTGATCCCAGATAAAGCCCCGCTGCTCACTGATTATGAAAATTAAATGAGCAAAGTTACATTATACAGGGAGATCGAGGCGCGAGACTAGAGTCGAGTTGAACGGACTCGGTTTCAGGGTCGCGCACGGCGAACCGTAACTTAATTCCTTCAGAAGAATCCCACTTTTTCTGTGCGATTTTAATATCTTACTGCCTCTCCTCGCGGTCACACTTGGTCTCTTGTTTGTTTGAGAGACAAGTTGGGAATTGAATTCACCGAGACGATCATTAATTACGATAACGTATCAGCAAGTCATCACGTTCACAGATCCTCAACGCGACATCAGCGAGCGTGCGAATAAAAAGTAGGCGTTTCACACGGGAGGGGGGAATTTATTTCGACCTCGGGCACTTGAGAATGATGTGTTCGAGTGACGCGCGTGGAATCCCGCGGGGTGTGTGGGCGCCGTGGGTGTCGTGGGCCCCGCAGGTGCACAGGTGCGCGATGCGCAAAACGCGCGAGCGGAGTCGAAGCTCTCTTTCCGACACATTAGGAGACCTTGAACTTGGCACTGAATCACCTCGCCGGGAGCGCATCCTCCTCTCGCTTTTGCAAGTATGAAACTTTTGCTTTCACTTTGCGCCGGATTCCGTTTACGTGTCCTTAATGCACGCAACGTGGGCCGGACGGAAGGAGAGCAGCGGTCGCAGCGTTGTTGCTATGCCGCGCAACATCCCTCGATCTTCCTCGCGACGTGTACCCGACTAGAAATTTATCCTATGGTCCTGATCAGGTTAACCTCATTTGGACATCAGGTCCCAAGGTAATACTATCGGCTGTCCTAGTAAGTCATGTAACGCAACGTGGATATCAGGACCTTGGTAAGGATTCATAGTCAGGTCCTTATTGAGAATCCTTATTACGTTTTTTTTTTTTTTTTTTTTTTTCAAGATTATGACTCCTGATTATTCGCCACGGCTATATTGGATGATGACGTTAGAAATAAGAAATGATACGCTGAAAATTCTTTCCTGTCATTTCCAAATAAAAAGATATTTGCATGAAATAATATTTTAGATCGCTTGAGCATACTTGTAAAATGTTTCGGAAAAGAAATATAAAATGAATATCACAAGGTGACAAAACATAAAGTAGTGTTAAAGAGAAAAGTTGCATGTCACGTTAATTTTCCAACTATTTACTGACTGCTAAAAAAGGATAGTTTCTATAGCATTTTACAAATATATTCAAGTGATCTGAAGTGTTTTTTCAATGCAAACATCTTTATATTTAGAAATGACACCCAAAAATTGTTTTGTTAAAACTTGATAATGCAAATCATATTAGGTACAATGAATAAGATCCCGACAAGGACCTGATTAACTGAACCACATTATATCATACACTAGGTTGGTACATTAAGGACCCAATCATTATAACCTTATAAAGGTCTTCCTTACTCATTTGTCATTAGGACATTATAAGGACTGACTTACTTAGGATTATCTTTCATTCACTCTATTAGGTCCTTATCAATGTTAGGTGAACCTGATCAAAATTTCTAGTCGGGTATTTCCGATCGCGAAAGTCGACTCGACAATTTTGCTTCCGCATCAATCTTGCGATATTCAATAATTAAGATATGAGTATAAATAATGCGATAATTGGAACAACACATTTTTGCTTATCATTATTTTTTATCGGCGTTTTACAGACTGCGAATGTTGGCTTAAATCAATCTCTCTCTCTCTCTCTCTCTCTCTCTCTCTCTCTCTCTCTCTCTCTCTCTCTCTATTCTCGCCAAGTTCGTCCGTTGAAATCGGTGATTTCTGTAACACATGATGAAACGATGGATTTTCATTTCACACAACTAGAAATATGTGGCTCTCGGTCACGTCCCGGCGTTCAGCTTCTGGATTCAACATCTTACTCCTGGCTGCTCTGTCCTAACACCCAGGACACTTACCGGGGCGCTGACACTCACGTAGGTACACGACGATTCAGTCGACGGAGAGATCGCGTGTTAATTAACGTTCGTGTCTCGTGTCGACAAGAAAGCAATCGATTACGATATCTCACGATCCGAGAAATGATTCGACGAAGAATATTCCATGACGACCGGCATCGGCCGACTTTACCGGGTATCTTCCGCGTCGCGAACGCTCGTCATTCCTCGGTTCGAGTCGCTCGATGACTTGACCGCAGGAGAATCCGCGACACGCGAGAGCACCGAAACAATGGGCAGAAACGGCCAGACCCTGCCGGCATGACGTGTCGCGACGTCGAAACTATCAACAACAGCAAAAAGCATCGAAAGCGATAGGAAGTGTCGTTCTTAGAATCATCCGAATGCTCTATTACGTTGCGAGTCGCGGCGCGCAGCGCGTGTTATATCGATACGTCGGACAATTCTTGCCGGTTTATAGCAGTGTTTCGACGATTCTTGAACAGGTTCTCTCGTTGGGGTCGCGTTTGTTAACACTGTGTCCGGTCAAATCGTCACGAGTGTCAGTGCCACCATGGACCTGATGAGAGCCATAGTCCTGGGTCGGGAAGCCAAGACTATGGAGGAAGCGGGACGTGGCCGGGACGTGGCCAGTGATGCATCAAGTGCTTCCAGGTGTGTAAAATCATTCGTTATGCGAGTTTCCTCTTTGAGGAAAGTTTGACGAGACCAAGTTTGAGGCGAACTTGCCGAGATGGACACGTAGAGATATATGGCGAGATATTACACGGAGATACACGGAGAAAGGGAGAAGGGAGCGCGCGCTTGAAATTCGAAACGCGCATTTTTCGTCTCCATCTCTGTCGTGCGCGTTGCGGGAAAGCGCGGAGAGCCAAGTGCGCGATTTAATATCAATGAGCGGCGTTTGATTCATAAGTTAAACACAGCGGGATGCCACCTGCGCGGCTGCCAAAGGATCTCTCGGAGCGTGTCTCGCTCATTGTTCCGCGCGATCTTGGCACGCTGACCGCACGCCGCCGAGCATAGCTACCGTGAGAGACAAACGTAGCTCTCGAGGTAGCTGAAATTCTTTGCCGGTGCTCCGCGCACGGCGTGTCTTCGTCGTCGGGGGCCTGCGTCGTGGCCGGGTGCGTTGCTGCAAAATCATCGTAGGAACTTTCGGACTCGCGTGCCGCTCGATGAATATTTATGCCGCGCTACATTTCGCTCAGTAACGCGCGTTTGGCGGTAATTAAGGTTATCCGGTGGAGTAATTAAATTCATTTGGCTATTTCGTCCCCGCTGCTAAATAAGCCGGCCCGCCGCCGCGGTGGAGGGTAACAAGCGGAGCCGGCGCGGGCGCGGGCGCCTCACATCGTCTCTCGGTGAAGAGAGATTTTCTAATCCTAAACGGGGCTCATTAAGCGGCTGCTTTATTCTTTGGAATGTAAATTATTTCACCCGACGACGCGCGGATAAGAGCTCGGGAAAACTTGCGCTTATTCTTATATTCCGGCGATACCGGGGCTCCGCCTTGAAACACCGGAGTCGCGTCCGCGCTATCAGAGAGAGAGAGAGAGAGAGAGGGAGAGGGAGGGAGGAGCGAGAGAAATCAGAGACGGGAAGAGAAAATTCAGAGATACGAATGAATCTGAAAATTGGTGAAACGCGTCGTTAATTTACACGCGTTGCGCCAGCGTCTCTCTCTCTCGCTCAGGCTCCGAGAAACACCGACAAGGCGAATTCAGCCGGAAAAGACTCTGTTTCGTTACGTACGTCGGATTACGTCACATATTGCGTACGTGCTAATATAACGGCTAATAGGCTACTCTCGCCAGCGCGTATTCCACAATTTCCATCGAAATGCCAAGTCAACCCATGGGAACGGATTGTACGAATATACACACGCGTATGAGGAGAGCTCCCCTCATCCGCAGCTATTTTAACACTGTTTGCCCTTTTGCCAACTTTGAATGCCTTCAAATGTGCCGTCTTGATGGCGCTCTTCCCGCCGTCCGCCTTTTCTCCCCCCTCTCTCTCTCTCTCTCTCTCTCTCTCGAGTTCCACGTGTATGTCATGCTGTTTAGTACGTGGCACGCATAATACGGTCGTTAATCGCGTATATGCCCGCGCACTTCAATTCAACCGCGAACTACGGGAGAGAGAAAGAGAGAGAGAGAGAGAGAGAGAGAGAGGGAGAGAGAGAGAGAGAGGTAGGCATACTCGTGAGAACAAAAGACAGGCGGTGTAATTGGGAAATATGCCGAAGGATGATCCCGCTCATGATGCTCATTGTACTCGCTTTGAGCAGAGAAAGCAGAGGCAGGCAGACGGACGGAGCAGAGGCCGGGTCGCGAGCGTTTTCGAGCTCGGTTGGCATTTCAATGGAAATTGTGGAATACGCGCGCGCGCGCGCGAGATCGAGTGTACCCGTGCCTCTGGCTACCTGGCTTTATTTATGCCAGCCGAGATACTCGCGAGATTGCGAATTAGCGGACACGCGTGTGTGCGATTCGTAAAAAATTTATGTAACGTCGCGTTGAGAAAGTCCGCGCCGGTCGTTTACGACGCTCCTCGTGAATCAAATCGGCGCGAGGAGAGGTGCCGGGAGAGGGGGGCAGGAGAGAGCGATTAGTCTCAAATTAAAAATGAATCGAATTACGCGGGGCAAGCGAATCGAGTGGAATTCTTCGCTGGAAATGGACCCCGTCTACGCGCACCCGAAGGGTTAAATTCCTCCCTCTTTTCGCTCAGGTCGATCGCACTTGAATAGCATCCGGTAGAGCATCCGAGAAGTATCCTGACTTCGCAATAATTCTACCATCCTCCCGTTCTCTCATTCTCCGCTCTCCTCTTCTCCCCTCATCCTCTCTCTCTTTCTCTCGTTCTCTCGCGCGCGCGTTTTCTCTCTCTCTCTCTCTCTCTCTCTCTCTCTCTCCTCTTTCTCTCCTCCTCCCGTTATCGATCCGTCTGCTAGTTGGCGAGAGGAGGACGCCGAGGTGTGTGTTCCGTGCATGGATTTTAATCTCATACTTCGTTAGCTCTCGCAGTATGTCCACTCCTACACACTCCGATAGAAAAAAACCCTCCCTCCCGCTCCCTTTGCTTCTCTTTCCGCGGTCCTGATTTTATTCATTAAAGGATTAAGTAGCGCCGCACGCGCGACCTTTTCGCTTTTAATTATATTCATAATGCAGACGCGCCAGGTCGATTGACGAAACGACCGCGTCGCGTCCGCTTTTGATTTGCCGATTAATTAAGTCAATTGGCGCAGTCGCCTTCGGAAATGAATCAGTCGCATTAAGATGCAGAAGGATATCGCGTTTGATATTTTTCGACTTTTGAATCGCGCAACGCGAGAAAGAGAGAGAGTACGAGGGGGGGGGGAGATTTCCACGCGATTTGCGAAATGCAATCGTGGAGTCGCCGCAACGGCTGATATAATTTCCAGTTGCTGAGCGCGGAGTGTTGGTCGCGTTCGGGATTAGTAGCTCGAGACGAGGAAACGCTCTCAGGTGGCGAGGGGGTCGAAGGGTTAAATCGCGCGTCGGTTCCGCATTGCGGTCCACCGTTTACGCGCGATCTCCCGTCATTGGAGCCGCGTCTCTCTCTCTCTCTCTCTCTCTCTCTCTCTCTTCTCTCTCTCTCTCTCTCTCTCTCTCTCTCTCTCTCTCTCTCTCTCTCTCTCTCTCTCTCTCTCTTTCTCTCTCTCTCTCTCTCTCTCTCTCTCTCTCTCTCTCTCTCTCTCTCTCTCTCTCTCTCTCCCCCCTCTTTCTTATTGCATACTTCCCTGGAACTCTCACGAGCTCTCTGACGAGTATCTCCTCGCGAGAGAGAGAGAGAGAGGGGGGCTCGGGCAGGAATAGTTTGCGGCGGAAGATAGAGCCGTTCGTGAATTATTGAGGATGGCGTGTACGGCTCACTGCTGGCAACGTGGGTAACAGCGTCGTGGTCGTGTCGTCGAGACGGAACCGCCTCTCCGCCATCCCGCCGGGGATCCGCGGTGCTTAATGTTACATCGAACAATCGGTTCCGACGCGAGAGAACAACGCGGTCGAAAATTCACGCCGTCACTCTCTCTCTCTCTCTTTCTCTCTCTCTCTCTCTCTCTCTCTCTCTCTCTCTCTCTCTCTCTGTCGCGACCTGATATCGCGGCGTTTGTGCGAATTGTGCGTTGAGATAGAAAAATAGATCGAGTCGGCTGCAGCAAGAAGCAAGCGTATCGCGCGGATTTCGTCGCGTGAGCCGTGACCGTGAGAATTTCATTCCCAGCGAATTTATGCGCTCTCGTCGCGGAGGAGAGTTTATTCTGTCGGGATGCTGACGAGCCGACGAGACGCGACGTGCTCGTCTTCTCGAGCTGGCGGCTCGGGAAATTCGTCTCTACGACAAACTAAAACGGGTCCTTCATAAAATATCGGCTCGGCCGTGCGCACGCAGGCGTTTCCGCACCGGGTGACATCAATGCGCGCGGCCATATTCCGCGTTTCGAAGGGCCGTTCGGGAGCACACGGCGCGGCAAATCGCCCCGGAACGAATGCGAGAGGGACGGCTCGTGAAGCCATTCATCTTCAGTCGAGCCGCACTTTTTCCGCTCATCCTCCACTTACATATCGGCTCTAATCGCGAGACGCTCATTAACGGCGGATCATGGCGGCCGCGTGTCCTCGTTATATCTTTTTACGACACTCTGCGACCGAGGCGGGACTTATTCGAGCGAACGCTACATAGAGACAGGGAGGCAACTTTGTGTGTGTGTGTGTGTGTGTGTGATATCAAGTTGATGCGGCCATTTCCTCGCATTTCTCTTCGAAAAGCGCCATCGACGTCCGTTCGATGTTTATGAGAGAGAGAGAGAGAGAGAGAGAGAGAGAGAGATTTTCGAGGAATCAATTTTTTTTTTTTCCGTTATATACATACTTTTCGACAATCTAATTTTTCAAGGTCCCCCGACTGCGGCCGCGGCTGAGCGTCGCTTTAAAAATAACGCGGACAACGCGGGTAACATCGCGATTTCACGGGCGCGCCGAAAACGAGCTTAACAAATTCATTTACGACGTAACGAGCGCGCCGCGTATACATCGCGCATCGTTCCGTCACCTTCGCCCACCCACACGCGAGCGCTCGATGCGCGTCCAGTTAATTGTGTTACACGGCGGTCTATACGCGAGATGATTGTGCATTCGCGAGACGAAACTGTACGCGGTGCGTTGCGACTAGTTAATTAGAAGTTCCACTTGGAACGAAACGTCCGCGACTTCCTCCCCCGTTCTACGCCCACCGCTGTCTCTCTTTGGTCGTGAAGAATATCAGCTGACGGCTGAGGGATTTAATAGTGTATATTCTCTCTCTCTCTCTCTCTCTCTCTCTCTCTCGCTCGCTCGCTCGCTCGCTCGATTGTTTTTAATACCTCTCGTCGATCGATTATCCTACCGTCGATGCATTCGATGCAACTCTCTAAATTATAGCCGTATCCTTCACGCCGCAACAACAACAGCAGCAGCAGCAGCAGCAGCAGCAGCAGCAGCAATGTTATTGCCTCTCCCGTCTACCTGAGCGCGCGATATCCCGCGGTTTAATTTATGATTACCGCGCGATGGAATTACACGATTTGCAACCGGGCGTGGGCGCGCGCGCGCATCTTCCGTCGAGTGGATAGTCTTTTTATCGGGTGG